AGTAACTCAGCTTAAGGTAGGTCAACTCCAGCTTTGTTATTCACATAGCTGGATTTGAGTGCCTTAGGTCGACTTTCTGCAGTAGTGCAGAGAGAGGCTTAGTTTTAAGGTCAACTGCCTGTGGGGGGTGCTGAAATAATACATCTATGCAGATGGCATTTGCAGATTTTACTGTATTGTCTAGAATTGATGTAGAAGATAAAAAAGAAAACTCTTAGAAGTTTCTGGTTCTAATAACTCTCTAAATAGCGCTTCCCAAGCTCAAAGAATGTCAAACCGCTTCTTGCTGTAAAAAGCCTTTGCCATTCGGATACCTCAGTTTTCTTGCTTAGGTCATGTCAAAAGCGTGGCAGGCGGCCAAAACACACTCTTCCTGTGTCTGCAGCCAGAAAGACACAAACACGCCGAGCAAGGTGAATATCCCTGGCTTGCTGTACAGATCCATCCTAATTATGGTAAACAGGGCGTGTCCTGTAATGTCCTGCAACACAAATGCATGCATCAAGTCAGTGAGACTGCTGGTTTCACATAGGTAGCTACTAAAAGGAGTGAGTGTTCTTGATTGTTTTTAAAAAAAACACACACACAAAGGGTTAAAGACTAACAAGATGGTTTATTAGTAATAAACCCTAATAAACCATCTTGTTAGTTTTTAAAGTGCTACATACTCCTGCATTTTGCTTCAGCTACACCAGACTAACACGGCTACATTTCTATTACTATTCTACACAAAGGGGAGACTGACTTCCCAGGCTTCACAGTGCTGTTGCTGCAACCAAGAGAATATTTCTAAGGAACTGTTGCTTCATGGCTTTTCTTGCCTCACAGTTTTAATAGGGAGTAGGGAGGTGTTATCGCCTTTATGCGACTAATTTAAGATGTATAGTCAGATGGATGCTTTGCCGCTAATCTTCTCTTTTAAACACATTGTACTTGTTCATCTGGCATACAGTAACAACACTTCTCAGTACATGAAAAGTCAAAGTAGAACGGAATTGAATGGAAATCTTGCTGGTCTGATTAGCTGTAAATGTTCTCACTGCAACATCACAACATGCAAATGAAATGTGTCTGCTAACACCATTCCTGCAGAATCTACCAGCTCTGGGAGGCAACATTTAGCTGTAATGCTGCCTCGTGTACCTGATGCAAATACTGGTGCGTTTCACCGCCCCGCAAGAGGCAGTCAGCCACCAGCAGACAGATGGGTTGATGTAAGGCTTTTCAAAGTGTCTGAATTATTCATTTGGTTTGGGGGTGTATGCTGGTAGTGTATCTTTGTTTTGTTTTGCCCTGTCATGATATGGACAGTTTTCCTAGTAAAATAAATACAGCGGCAAGAATTGCAGACTTTTTGAGTGTGACACGGTTTTTTTTAAAACCGACTTGTGCATTGATTTCTACAGCCGAGCAAGTAACTGAATTCAGCAAAGTAACATCATTGATCTCAACAGTTATTTGAAATTGAACTGCAGATGTTGAGGATGTAACTGATCAAAATCGGGCCGTGGGTCAGTGCGAGCTTCCTTCTGCAGCTCCACTTGCGTAACTTGTCGAATGGAAAGAGGCCTGTTTTTTTGTGCACTGAGGGTCTTTGGTGCAGCGTCTGCTCAACTATGGAGGGTTTTGTGGTTTCACCATCTTCAGAGCCTTTCACAAACATTACGTCATCACATCGCTCATTGGGCCGGCATGGTAGTTTCCTTGCATATGTTTGTCTAGAGAGAATATCTGATGGAGCGTGTGTTTGCGAGGTTCGGAAAGCCATGTCAGCAGAGCAGTTCTCGCATGCCACGCTCAGCAGGCACAAATTTCTAAGGTGATGTTTACTCAAATGTTATTTCCTGAGAATATCTAAGAGCCAAGAGTTGTATTTGTGTAGTGTGTGCCACAGTGCCAGGTGCTTCAAACACCAGTGGAGCCAGTGTTTCAGAACCACAAAATTCACTGCTGTAACTATTCCACGAGTAAAGTTCTCACTACTTCCCAGGCAGTCTTATGGCACTTGGTCTACGAGTGGGAATCCGTGTGTTTCCTTGTCTGCATTCGATAGCGCAGAGCAGAAACAAATTTAGCTCTAGAGTAATGAAGGAGTTTTTAAAAGCCTGTTACAAACTTATACATCCTTGATAGGGCTGTCAAGCGATTTCCAAAATGGTGGTTATTCGCGCTGTTCAACAATATTGTCATTTATTTAAATATTTTTAGATGTTTTCTACACTTTCAAATTTATTGACTTCAATTACAGCACAGAATACAAAGTATAAATGGCTAAGTTTATTTTTTTATTACAGACATTTGCACTGTGAAAAGCGAGAGAGTGTATTCCCAGTTCCTCCCTTACAAGTACTGAAGGGTAATATCTGTATCATGAGAGTTGAATATACAAATGCAGAGTTGTGTTTAAAACACTTACATTTAGAAACAAAACAATCAAACTGTAGAACCTACAAGTTCACTCAGTCCTACTTCTTGTTCAGCCCATTGCTTGAACAAACAAGTTTGTTTATATTTGCAGGAGATAACGCTGCCCACTTATTTACAATGTTGCTTTTTTAAGATTTCTGAAAGCAGGCTCCATACTTTGTCCCCCTCAGGTTTTGGAAGGCACTTTAGAGTCTTAAACTTTTAGTCGTTTGCTGTAGTGTTCTTAAACACGTGCTTGTGTTATTCAAGACTGTTATAAAGTGAAATACATGGCAGAATACAGGTAAAACAGAGCAGGAGACAAACAGGTCTCCCTCAACGAGGTCAAATTTAATTAGTTATTTCTTTAACAGGAATAGTCAGTGTGGAGTCATGTTCTCTGGAGTGGTGGCTGAAGCATGAAGGGGTATGCAAATGTTTAACATATCTAGCACGTAAATACCTTGCAATGCTGGCTACAAGCCCCATACAGATGCCTGTTCTCGCTTTCAGGTGTAAATACCTTGCAATGCTGGCTACAAGCGCCATACAGATGCCTGTTCTCGCTTTCAAGTGACATTGTAAATAAGTAGGCAGCATTATGTCCCATAAATGTTAAACTTGTTTGTCTGAGCAATGGGTTGAACAAGTAGTAGGACTGAGTGGACTTGTAGACTCTATTTTGTTTTGAGTGCAGTTATGTAACAAAAAAAATCTACATTTGTAAGTTGCATTTTCATGATTTCACTACAGTACTTGTGTGAGGTGAATTGAAAAATGCTATCCTTTTTACAATTCACTACAGTACTTGTGTGAAGTGAATTGAAAACTGCTATCCTTTACAGTACAAATATTTGTAATAATAAAAAGGGAGAACTATGCTTTGCATGTGGTGTTGTAATTGAAATGAAAATGTAGAAAAAAATCCAAAAATATATAATAAATTTCACTTTGTATTCTAATGTTTAACATAGTAACTAAAACTGAATAATCATAATTAATTGAGTTAATCACATATGTTAACTATGATTAATCGGCAGCCCTAATATTTGGTCTAACATCAGCCCATCATCTCCCGGTCTGAGCAAGGCTGTGACTTGCTCTCTACTCTTTACAAATCCGTTTAAATTTGGCTTGTCTGCTGAAAGAGGTGTCAGTGACCTACTGACCTAATTTCCAGGGCTGCCAACCTTAGCCAAGACCTCAGGGGGCATCTGCAGTCTCCTAGCTGAGGCAGTGTGTGGGGCCATGTTACATACAGAATAAGAGCAAAAAAAAAAAAAAACCTAGAGATGAGCACAGAATTCAGAAAGGGGCCCAGAACTTGCCAGAAAGACCTAGGAGGAGTTTGGGGGTTAATTCAGGGAGGGTGGGTTCAATTCCTAGCTCCCAGACTACGGGAGTGCCTCTTTAGTCTGTGTGCCTCAGTGCCCCGTCAGCAGGCTGGTTTGGCTCTTCCTCTGTTTTTGGCGAGGAACCCCTGGCAGGCTTGGTACGAAGGAGCTGCCTGAAGCTCTAGAGGAATCTCGTTCCTGATGTCCGCTTGCCAGGGAGAGGGGGAGGCCCCCATTGGGGATTCTGATAGCTGCATCCGGAGGAGACACAGGGGTGTCTGGGAATGCAGCAAGCTTGGGGTAGCTGAGGTTCCTGGGCACTTCCTACTGCCCCTTCCTACCGCTGCACTCCCATTACCCCCTCTTAAATAAAACCCTGATGGAAATTCACAGATAGGATTTTGTTACCATGGTGTGAAGGCTGAGGGCTCCCGTTGGTGGTCTGCATGCCTTGTGCCCTTTAACACACTCGCCCCCCCACCCAGTAAATTAGCAAACCTGGAAATCTAGAGTCAAGGCAACACTTCTCACACCAGCCTGCCTGTGGCTCTCTCTCCTCCTGCTGCAACACCCTAAGGAACTGAGAACAACCCAGTAGCTCACTCCCCGCTAATAAAAACTGCCATTTTTTTCAGTTTCTATGGCAATTGTAGGCCAAGATTCCGGCTCTGTATTCCAGCGGATGCACCGTGCACTGCTGGTACTTTGAGGAATAAGGGATCTCCCTGGACACACATGTTTAAGAGTATAGGGAGCTGCAGTGTCTCTGAGGGATGCCTGAAGGAATGGATCAAAAGGGGCAGAGTTAAGGGGACATGGTTGTGTTCTATGACAAGTGCGACATTTGAGTTTTGAGGATTCAATTTTCCCCTTCAGGGAGGAGCTTGTCGCTCAGCGTGTGCCACATTCCCAGAGGTAGGTGGGTGGGTGTGGGTGTGATAAATACAGCTCTTAGCAGCAGTGCCTCATCTCTCTGGGTTTGGGCAGTGCCTGGAACAGTGGACTACACAACTAATGAGGTCCTAGAGGAGCTCCTGTCCTGTCACCTGCCACAAAGCTAGACAGGCATTGGCCAATGAATGATGCAGGGCTGGCTGGTGATGGGCTGCGTGTGATGCCAGCCTGCTGTGAGGTGCAGGAGGTCTGGCTAGGGTAAGGCTGGCAAGATTGATTTGTTTTGGTGGGCAGGATGGGGGAATGGAGTGGGAGGGACTCAGCCCCCACCCCCTTCTCATTCTCCTATGAAATCCACTCCACTTCTCCCACATCGTTCGTTTCCTCCTGCTCTAGGCTCTTCCTGGTTTTTTCCACCTGGGCTGTTTTCCTTCCTTTTTCTTCACTCTGTAATACACAGGGGGCAGAGGGTTTAAAGAGGCGGTGGGAAAGAGCATCTCTCCACTATATTTGCATGAATTAGAATACAAGGTGATGCTGTGGGTGCGGATCCCACTGGTATGTGGGGTCTAGGGCAGTTCCTCTCCACTAGGCAGAGCCCTGGCGCCATCAACAAACAGCTGCCTTCTCTCCATTGTGTGCGGAGATACCAAATCTTGGGCCAGAGGCTGTTGACTAGGGGGCAGTGTCATCATCCCTGTTTTGCAGGCGGAGAATCCGAGACACAACGGTCGATCAGAGCAAGTCGGTTACAGATAGGATCCCTGTCCTCTCATCCTGCCTGCCCGGCAGTTCTCTGGCCCAACTCATTCCTGGCACTGCCCAAATTGTTGGCCCCATAGCTAGGGTTTGCACCTGACCAAGGTGGCTGGATTTTTTTTTCTTTATGGACTTGCCAATTGCCAGAAAAAACAGTTTATTCTCAGGGTTGTTGGTTGGTAGTTTTGTCTTTTACGTGGATCTTGACATTTGACTATTACTGCAATACGCTGGCCTGGCTTTGTCTTTTACGTGGATCTTGACATTTGCTCTATTATTGCAATACGCTGGCCTGGCTAATGTTAAAGGTTTCAGCGTCCAGCTAAGGAAGCTGCCGTGTTCCCTAGTGCAAGCAATAACCGATCAAAACTGGACAACACAGCGGCTGCCTGCCCACCGACACGCAAAGCGCACCACGTGCACAAGAGGGGGAGTTTGGATCGCTATAAGTAGCTGTGGAAGCAGCGGGCAGGTGTGTGCAGTTGCCTTAGGTTTGGGGATGCAGTGGGCTTGCCCTGCGGGGGATGGGAGGGGTGTGTGTGTGTGCTGGGTTTGGGTATTTCAAAGGTGGTAACTCTATCTGCAATGAGCAGCTGACCCAGGCTCTGAGACGACTGCCAGGGTGGTATTGTGTGCAGTGTAGATGTACTCTGGGAGGTCTGGCTGTGTGTGGAACTATCCATGGCTCCTATCCCTGTTACTTTCATCTGCCCTCTTGGTTTGTGACACTCACATGCGGCGTCTCATCTCAACTAAGACCGTAAGCTCCTAGACCAGGGACTGCCTTTTGCCATGTCTGTACAGCACCTAGCGCACAGTTCTCCTGCCCGGCTGGGACACTGCTGTTGGATAATTAATAAATACCCTGAGCGGGACTGGCTGGTAATGGTTGCTGTAAGGACTGGGGCAGGGGGCAGTCTGATAGGTGTTAGCAGGCCTAGAGGGTGCGCCTGAGGCTGGCCCAGGGCTTCCAATCGGGCCGGTAGCTGTGAGGGGGCGGGGCTGATGCCACAGCAGCCTCTACCATTGGTGGGTGTGAGGGGGCGGAGCCTGCCATGGAAGGGAATGACCCGGGCGGTTGGGAGAAGAATGTAGCCAGCCTCGCTTTGGAAACCAGCCAGGCCCTGGGACCGGCTCCCCGGCAGCAGGTGACGATGGAGAGGCGAACGTCGTCCGGCAGCGAGTACTCAGGGCTGTTAGCCATGGTTGCCGCGGGCAACCTGCCCGTGCGCTCCGACCACGAGCAGCTGTGGGAGCTGTCGATGGCCACCCAGTACAGCCTGGCTGCAGCCACGTGCCAGTGCCTTGCCGTGGCAGCCCTGTGCATTGCCGTCTCCAACCTTGGCTGGATCATGCTGGAAACCACCGATCACGAACCTCTGCAGAAGAGGTCGGAGTTCTGGGTCGCCATTTACATCTTCGGGGTGCCCATCCGTCTGAAGTCCCAGCAGTGGTTGAACCAAACGAGCTACTCAGGTGAGACTGCTCAAGGCAGATGGGATAAGGGATGGCGTTTTAAAGGGTAAGAACTAAGCCGCCCTGGGGAGAAGGAAAAAAGAGAGGCCTGGTGACCCAGTGGCAGAGATCTGGGGTGGTCTATCACAGAGGATCATATGCAGGTGGAAAGGCTCCCTCTTGGGTGATCCCAGAAGTAGGCTAGAGGAGGGGCTGTAGGGAGCCTGGTGGCATTTGAGAGCGCCCCCAGCTAGGTTTTTGGTGGTGCACATTTGTGTGTGTCTTGGTGTACATTAAAATGTATTCCGCATGTGGATGGAAAAACTCCATGGAATGCAGTGGATGGAAAAGACTAGAGGGAGCATTGTTGCAGGAGTATAGTATTTGGCAGACTGGATCCATCTCACGAGGTACCTGATGCACCAGAAGAAGAAGAAACCACCAATATTGTTTTGCCAGGAACAAATCGTGCCAAACCAATCTCATTTTCTTCTTTGCCAGGGCACCACAGGATAGAGGGAAAGCAGTAGAGGTGATACATCTGGACTGTAATAAGTCTTTTGATACAGCCCAACATTTTCATAAGCAAACTAGGAGAATATGGTATAGATGAAATTACCATAAATTGGGAGCACTAGGAGCCCTAGCGGGGTATATCCACGATCCAGTACGTGTCAGTATTTTCACACACACTACGGATGATGGAGTGGGGAATATGCTTCTACAGTCTTCAGATGGCACCGCACTGGCAAGCAGTTTGGAGGATAGGAGTAGAATTCAGAATGATCTTGATAAATTGGATAATTGGTCTGGAGTTCAATACAGGCCGTCTTTGCTGTAAGTCCAAGATACGTTCTGAAAAACGTGGACTTATATCAACGCTTAAAGTAGGTGATCTTTTTCCCATGACTTCTATTTGCACAAATTGGTGGTGGTGGGGGGGTTGTGCAACTTAAGAGCTGGGAATGGGAGGACTTAAAACGCATCAGTCCCTACAAGTGTCAATGACATTAGTGTAGAATGGATGTATGCCAGGGCGACTTATAGCAGGGACACCTGTAAATTTGAGTGCAAAATACTACATGTAGGAAAGAAAAGGCAAATGCACAAATACAAAAAGGGGACTAACTGGTTTGGCAGCAGTATTGCAGAAAAGTATTTGGGTGGTTCTAGTGGCTCACAAATTGATATGAACCAACAGTGTGGTGCTGATGTGAAGGCGGCTAGTGTCATTCTGGGGCATTTTAACAGGCGTGTGCATGTAAAACACTATAATTTTTCTGCCTTTTCATGCACCGGTAAGGCCTCAAGTGGAGGATTGTAAATAAACTGGAGAGCGTTCAGAGGAGAGAAACAAAACTAAGAGATTTAGTAATCTGTGAGGAAAATGTGAAAGAATGGGGCATATTTAGTTTAGTGTGGAGAAGAAAAGGTGTCAGGTGAGATTAAAACAGTCATCAAATAAGTGAATGGACAGTGATCAACTATTCTCCATGTCCACTGAGGTAGAACAATAAACAATCCACTTAAGTTTGCCAAAAGGGATATTTAGATTACATATTAGGGAAAACTTTCAATTAGAATCAGTAAGCACTGGAACAGGAGTGTTGAAATCCTTGTCATTGGAGCTTGTGGATGGTCTGAGTATATTTAATCATACCAAGGCAAAATTAAATATACTTAAACATTCTACGCCTCACTGGTAAGGCCTCACGTAGAGTACGGTGTCCAGTTCTGGGTGCCACACTTCAGGAAAGATGTGGACAAGCTGAGAAAGTCTTTAGAAGATAAGTCTGGAAAAAACAGACCTATGAGGAAAGATTGAATTTCACTAACCAATTAGGGTACGTCTAAACTACATGGCTCCGTTGACGGAGCCATGTAGATTTGTTGTTTTGGCAAAGGCAAATGAAGCCGCGATTTAAATGATCGCGGCTTCATTTACATTTACATGGCTGCCGCGCTGAGCTGACAAACAGCTGATCA